GTCTCGGACTACGGTCGCTGCATCATTGTTTTCACATCTATTTGTACTGATGGGGAACATTCGCTCACGTACGGCCACTCTGCAAAGTTCAAAACATCTGGTGTTGAGAGAAATGTGTTTGAAGCTCATTTTTTATTCACCCTTCTGACAACAGCCGTGACTCCTGCACAAAGGTGGTCTCCTCTCCACCCACGATGTATTTAAACAGGTTAAAACAAACTTCTTCTAAATGTCATTTGACACTGAGCTTGTCTTTCTGGAGTGCCAGGATGTTGTTGTACATCTGGACTGCAGTTAAACTGGACCACTGCTCAGGCCACTACACGAGATTTTAATGTTTGTTTCAACATTGTTTTCTACTAATGGCAAATGTTTTTCTCACATCTGGTCACTCTACAGAGTTCAGAATGTTTTATTTTGAAGTTTGCCATTTATATATTCTCTGCCATAAACATGGACTCCACTCTGCATGTCATGCACTTCTTGCAGGTTAAACCAAACTCCTTGTGAGTGTCAGCGTTACCGTTTTAACTGCGTGGTTCTACGTCTCTGCTGAGATGGGAAAGCAGACGGATGGTTGTTAAACTGGATGTGTAAATGCCATCGGGTACTGGAGAAGTCAAACTTTTGTCCCTAAAAGAGTTTTTAATTTTTGTTCTGCAGCTGAACAGCACAAAGTTCAGAAACGTTTAATTTTTATAGACACGTGTTTGAATCATATATTTTATTCCGTCTTCTGAAAACAGATGTGACTCCTGCCACAAATCTGAGCTCCTCTCCATTTATAATGCACCTCATGCAGGTTCAAACAGACTGCTCTAAAAGCCCTCGCACTGAAACTGGTCTTTTTGGAGTATAGACGATGTAACTGTTTGTTCTAGATCTCGGATAATATGGGACAACAGATTAAAAGGGACAGCAGATCTTCCACAGGTCTGGAGTCAGACTTTGGACTTTTAATTGTTCGTTTTAACATCTTCTGTGGGCTAAATGCTATTTGACCCACAGTGGAAACAGAATGGCTATTTTACCTGTTTTATCCCCGTGTGGGAGATGAGATGATGGACTTTAAATTTCCAGATTTTTGGTCTAACAGTGTAAACAACAAGATAGTCCGTCAGTCTAGGGGACCTGTAATCTATGGAAGAAGACAGTTTGCAAGGCCCACCACATCTTTTACATGTCTGGAGTCAGACTGTGATCATTACAGGACTTTTTAATGTTTGCTTTAATGCCTTTTGTAAGCATGGCAATCCTTTTCTCACATATCCGCTATAACTGTTTGAAACACATGACATGACCTCCACTCAGACCTCCATTCCCAAACTAGTCTTTTTGGAGTACTAACATTACTGTTTTTACAACTTTATTCTTAAATGTGACAACAGACTTATAGTTAAACCAGGCCTGATGAAAACGTCCAAGATTTGTTGATTCTCAGTTACATTTTCTGAGTAGAAACAATTAGAGAAGCGCTTTCACGCTTTACTCATTTAATTTTGAAAATCACCAGCTGATGGACTAACAGTAGCGAGTTCTGTCTTTCTCGTCACTGCTTCAATCTGCCTCTTGTTTCTCAGTGGCAGGCTCGTAAATTGCGGCTCTGCTGAGTCTTGGTCAGACAGGTTTTATGACCAGAACTCTGTCATTGCTCTGAACCATCCTCCCCCGGGGGCCTCCTCTCACTCCCTCCCCATGCCAGCTGTTCCTCTTAGTAGCCTGCAGTGCTTCCAGCACTTTAGCAATGAGCTTGATTTGTTTATGTCAGTAAGAGCAGTTTCGTGGAGGGACTGTGCCGCTGTGCCGCCATGTCACATTCTCAAAAAATTACAGAGCAGTATGTAGCTCTGGCTCCAGGCTGACAGGAACTAAATCAGCTGGACCTTTTAAGACAGACGTTCCATGTGGGAATTCCAAACTAATTGCTTTACGATTTCATTGAGACAAGAAAACATCTCTGAGTGGCTTTGGGTGAGCTTTTGAGAAGGAAATGTAGTATGCATGGTTTGACTGTAGTGCTCCAACGTTCAGGATGCACCACACACGCAAAAAACGTGCAGAAAAGACAAGCAAAGGAAAAGGTCTAAAACGGTCTTTTTTGCTCATTGAAAAAGTGTCTCTTTATCACTTTTGATATATATTTGTGGATGTTTATTTATAAAACGAATTTTAGCAATGATAAAGAATCTTTCAAAAAATGTTCTGGATAGGGTTTTGTATCCAGATCAACTCCAAAAACAAATTCCTCTGAACTCAGGCTGAAAATTGTCATACTAACTTGTAATCCTGCTAACACACAATCTGAACCAATCACACGGAGTCTTTAGTAGAGTTAAAAAGTGCAGAAATAAGAAATCATACATAAAAATAAAGAAAAGAAAAGTAAGGACTCAATCACACTTTACCTTTACCTGCACTCTGGAACAGCTACCTAACCCACCTGTCAAAAAAATTCATTTGCAGGTGTCTAAAAGTTTAATAATTTAGACTTTACTCTGGACTATTTGAAGCGTACGATGCAGCCTGTTACCAGCATTCACAGCTGTGTCAGTGCAAGTGTAGTTACATCTACATCAGGTTACAGCTACGGCTATGAAATAAGTTGTAGCTTAGTGTTTCAGTAGAGTTTGCAGTTATGACGTACCTACAGAAAAAATCCACTATAATGCTGAGTAAATAAAATAAAAGTAAATAATATAAAAGATTTCACATAAAATACAATGAATACAAATATTTGGTAACATCTAAAAAATACCATGTAAGTGTGACTGAAATATCTACTATGATGTACGACTCAACTTCTAACCACTGAAGCATCCTCGGTGGTTGAAATTAGGTCAAATTCAGATCTTCGTAAGAGCCAGAAAAGATGACTTTTAAACCAAATTTAGATTTAAAGGGACGTCTTTGTAAAGCAGGGGTAGGGAACTCCAGGCCTCAAGTGCCGGTGTCCTGCAGGTTTTAGATATCACCCTGGGTCAACTCACCTGAATGATTAGTGATTAGTTCATTACCAAACCTCTGGAGAAATCCAAGACATGTTGAGGAGGTAATTTAGCCATTTAAATCATATCAGCTGTGTTGGATCGAGGACACGTCTAAACCCTGTGGGACACTGGCCCTTGAGGCCTGGAGTTCCCCCACCTCTGTTTTAAAGGCTAAAAAAATCACAAAATAAGAAAATCACAGTCACAGAATAATGTATGTGGAGGAGTAACTCGGGGGATACTTCACTGTCGGCAAGCCCAGCTTCACCTACTTGCTACATCTGATGCCAGTTCGACCTGCTGCTAATTGATCTGCGCATCAGACTGGATGTCCATGAAGCTCGTGTTTTCACACAACCTGTCAGATATCACCAAATGATCTCCAGACTGCCATACCAGCCTCTACAGCTTCAGACTACTTTATTGTTTCCTGCTGTAAAGATAATTACAGATGTTCATGGTTGAGCTGAGGTGGGTGGGGGTTAGTGGAAGTCAACAAGATCATCTTGGGCCAAGGACAAACCTCACAGGCTGGTAGCTTCTTGTCAAAGCTTCCACAGACTTGTCCACCTTTAACAAGCTTTGTGTCACCTGGAAATCTGAGCCCATCCCACTGACGCTGCTGCGGTTTGCATTCCTGGAGCGTGTTGGGCGCAGGATGCTATTTCAGCGCGTGTGCCTGTGATTATGGACGTAAAGTAATTGTTCTCATTTTGTCGTCGACTCCCATTCTCAGGCTCATGAATGTCGTCAGTCTGTAACTGTTGATGCTTTCTGCCTCCGGTGTGTAAGGGGCAGGGCGCTTCACGGGTCTCGCCTGGAGAGCTGTTGTTGTAAATCATGTGTGATTCATAAAAAAAACTGGTTCTCCTGTCTGCCAGGTTTCATCTCCAAAACCTCAGAGACGTACAAATAGACCTTGGCCTGCAGCCATACCTCCCTGGAACTTCTTCCTTTACCAAACTGCTCTCCTGTCAACACCCCCCTCCGCTCTCGTCCCTCCCCCCATCTAACCATCATTATCCTCCCCCCAGCGCTGCCTCAGTGCAGGCCGATGATGTTGTTTTCTTTGTACTTGTCTTTGACCGTCCTCCATGGGAAGTACCTGGCAGCGGATGCACGTAGCAGGCCTCTGCCTGGACACGTCCGGCTCCCCCCTCTCCTCCGTCTCCACGGCCATGCAGCGTGAGAACTGCAGTATCCATGGCGACGAAGGGGGTGTGCTTAGGGTTGGTTATTTAAATGTTGTAGACAGGCGGATTTAGGCCTGAACGTCAGCTCTTCAGAGGTTCAGAAACACACATACACACAATATGACAAACAGAAAAATGGTTTCCAACAACTCGGGAATATTCTGAAGGTCAAAGAAATGTTACAGAAGAAGTTACTCTTGCTTTTATTTCCTCCTTAACGAGCTGTTGAGCTGTTAAGTTTAGCTCAGCTTTAGACTGCAAAACTCTGCAGCCTGACTTCTGATAAAAACCACACGCTCTTCTTATATTACCCGGTTTTGGCCTCCTTGCACTGGTTGCTAATTTAATTTTCAGTCCATTTTAAAATTCTGCTCATGACTTACAAGGCTTTACTTTTTCAAGCGCCTGAGTTTATTGATGAAGTTTTAATTCCTCATTACCCTCTTTGTTCTGCTGGGTTCCCACCACCATCTGGTCAACCAGTCAACCATTACGTTTCATTACATTTTTCCTGGTTGGGCATCCAGGTAAAGGTCTGAGCGTGTCCTGGTAATTTAGCTCTGGACCTGTCTGCTTTTACGTTATCCTAACGTCATCCTTAAGACACAGTGTTACAGACTTCATGTCTCAAACTTTTTTAGAAATAGACTTAAAATAAATCTTAATTTTGTGCTTCCTGTCCGAGCAGAAAAGGTTTTTGGATTGGTTTATTTTTTAACAGAGGTGGGCTTTTGACCTGATTTGAAAGTGATTAACATATGGAGTCTTTTTTCAAATCCAGATCCAGGAATTTTTGGACAGATTGATTAGAATTGTGTGAAGGAAGAACAATTGTATCCTCGTTGCTCAACAAGTTTTACGTTTGACCTTTTTGTTATTGTTAAAACGTTAAAACAGCAGAAGTTGAATCCTCTCCCAGCTTTTTTGGAGTCAAACCCTATGTTTAGTCAGGTCTCACTCTTTTGGGAACGGCCTGAAAAGGTCAGACTCGGTGGAGCCTGCTGCATCACAATGACGTGTTTTCTATCTGTTTGACACAGGTTGTTTTTTTCCTCTCTGAAGGGCGTCAAAAGCAGCCAGGCTGCTTTTAATAGTGCTTTCAATTTTCTTTAGAAGGCTAAAAGAAAACTCATAAAGATATTTAGTATAGAAATGCTTGATAGGAATGAGAAATGCTCATTCCTGTCAAGCATTTCAATAATAAATGTCTCCATATTTTAGACTTCTCGTTTGTGTCTCCTGAAAAATAAACTTGGTCTCGTTAGTACTTCCATAACAGTCTTCTCTTTCTTTCTGCAGGTTTTTAATGCGTCACCATCCTGTCATGTGGTAATCATCTCAGCGTAACCCAAAAGACACTGAACAACACTTTGTGCAGGTGACCTCATCCACAGATTTGCACCTGCACGAGCTGCTCACATGGCCCACCCATACGAGCCCTGGTTACGGACAGCATCACCTAGTGGCAGCTCAGACGACATGAACATCGCTTCCTGGTGGGACCTTCACAGAGACGTCCAAGCAGGCAGTTGGATAGACCTACAGACGGGTCAAGGTGTGGGCCTGCCTTCAGTAAATCCAGGCGGCTCCATGGGTTTGCAGCCTTCTCTGGGGCCCTATGGCTCTGACCCACAGCTGTGCACCCTGCCCCCGGCTCAGCACGCTCCACCCTCGCAACCATCCCATCTCTTCCCCCAGGACGGCTTCAAGATGGAGCCACTGGCCCCTGAAATGCTGCAGCAAGAAACCTTCTCAATGGAGGAACCTCAGGAGACGTCTGTGTCAGCTCGCCCCAAGCCCCAGCGCCGCTCTTCTTCCAGAGGCGGCAGCCAGGCTGTGTGCCGCTGCCCTAATTGCGTCCACGCTGAGCAGATGGGCCAGAGCACTGACGACAGCAGGAGGAAGCACATGCACAATTGCCACATCCCCGGCTGTGGCAAAGCCTACGCCAAGACCTCCCATCTGAAGGCTCACCTGCGCTGGCACAGCGGAGACCGGCCGTTCGTCTGCAACTGGCTGTTCTGTGGCAAGAGGTTCACGCGCTCTGATGAACTGCAGCGACACCTACAGACGCACACTGGAGCCAAGAAGTTCAGCTGCGCATTATGTCCCAGAGTGTTCATGCGCAACGACCACCTGGCCAAGCACATGCGCACCCATGAGTCCCCGCCAGGACAAGGGGAGGACAGGCTAAACGGAGATGGGAGGGGGGATAAGAGCTTTGATGCATCGACACCTCCCCAGTCGTCCGCAAACGTGTCTGACAGCACAGATCCTCCACTGAAGCTGAAGTGTGAGACAGACGCCTCCGTCTCCAGCGTGACGGGGCAGTCGGGCTAGCTGCGCCGCGTTCAGTTAAAGGGTTGCCATCACCTCACAGAGGTGTCATAGTTTCACGATAGATTAGAGAGTAGAAGGAAGGTATGAACACTCTTTCACTGATGAACACTGGATGGAACAAAAAATATGTATGTGTGATCCTGTGAATTTATCACACAAATGTGATAAACCGTGATGCCACGTCACGCTGAAAAGCAGGAATCCTATTGATCTTGTGTGTAAACCTTTCGTCTGTGACTACTAAAGGTGAAAGGTGGCGAAGGAGGCGACGGAGCTGAAGCTGCAGCTTGTTGCTGGACTTCGATTGCTGCTAGCGCTACAGCCACCAGTAGCCCAAGAGACTGACCTGAGTTCATGAGAAGGTGGTTGGGTAACTTGTTTACAATCAGATCAAATGTGTAACTGGAAGAAAAGAGCATTAAGTTTAACAGTTTCAAGGAAAGCAGACGGTAATATTGATATTTTCCTTATGTTCAGACTGTTACCACATGTCTGTGTAGCCTACTGTACTGGAAGAAGATGTAGGTTAGCAGCCATTTGAATGGGTGAAAGTGCAGAAGACCAAAGAGTGTGACAATAATTAAAATGGTCTGTAATTCAAAGGAAATACAACTTTAATGTTGTACTATGGCCAAAATAAGGCTGGTGATAATATAATATAATATAATATAGAAAATTATGCACTACAATGGCTAGTGTTTACCGAAAATACTGTGTTTATGTCACTGCCATAGTGGCACTTATTAACACACAGTAGGAGAATGTGAACAGGTGTTCCACTGGGAGCGCAACAAAGAAAAAAACTACTACAGTGATGTGAAAAACTCACAAGGACGGAGGCTGAATGGCAGGCGGACGGGAAATGCCGGCTGCTGAAATGAAGCCCGGTTTCTGTCGAGACACGCCGATGAGAGAAGTCACATCTGGCAGCAAGACAAACACAACTCCACAGATCAGCCCTGTCAACACGACAGGCTTGCACAGAGAAATACTCCTTCTGCTACATCTGCCATTTAAGGTTATGGATAGAGCTGATGTTCTTACTTTTTTATGAGTTGTGGCTAAAACACAACCAAACCGTGGCCCCAACATTAAATGGGTCACTGACGACGACTGCTAAGAGGTTAATCTGGAGCCTGATGCAGTCCCGCTGTTTAAAGCTGCATTTAACTGCAGCTTTTGTAACAATGGCTCAAATGTGTAATGTGAAAGAGCTCACTTGATGAGTCACCACTCATTCATCTCATCTGTACTCTATGTTTTAGCATCTTTTAGGTCATTGTTTTGATTTATCTGCTCTCACCTTTACTGTTGTTTCAGCTTCACCCATGAATCATGCTTCCAGCTCACTGCTGCCTCTAAACAGAGAGAGTGAGCAACTCGCTGCAAAACATAAAACTACAAAACTTTATTTGATTTTTTTTAAATAAAAGGGAGTCAATATTAAACTCACAATATTCAAGGGACAAAAAATACACTATATGGATAAAAGTACTGGGCCACCTACACATTGCATCTGCAGGAGTAAACTCGTGCCACGAAGCTCCCGATGTACAGTTTTTGTGCTGACGTTAATGCCAAAGGATGTTTGGAGTTACGGACTCACTGGAGCGTTCAGTTTTTTTCAGTGTCTGTAGAAGCAGCCTGCCTGTCGTGGTGCTTGATGTTACACAGCTGTGCCAATGCAACTGAAAAAGGTTAAGACGTGCAGCTCAATACTTTTACAAATATAGGGTATAATTCTAAAAATCAAATACAGCTTTAAAATACACCAGCATTTACTGGTTTTCCTGCTGCCCCCAAGTGGCCAAAATTAAAATAACACAAAAGAAAATCTTTAAAAAAAAACTAAAAAAACAAACATTTTTTTAAAAGCATAAAGATGGACATTGCCACCGTGATAAAGTAATGGTTTTGCACTCATTTTTAAGGTGAAATTAGCACCATGTTGTTTTTTGTTTTGTTTTCGTTTTTTTGTTTGTTTGTTTTTTAGCTAGAAGTAACCGTGTATGGATAAAAGGGCGGAGTGCTAAGTTATCAGCAAACTGTAAAGCTCATGTGTCAGTCAACACAGCTGCACCATTAACTTAATTAAACAAGTAGATGAGTTCTATAAACAATTTTTTTTTTTGAAAGGGGGGAAAAAAACACTTTTGGAGTCCCTCAAGTGGACATTAGAGGTACTGCATTTTTGCCTTTTCCATGTTGGCTTTGTGTTTCAGCTCTGGAGGCTCCCCCTATTGTTTTTCACACAGATATTCCACCTTGAGGCTGTCAGGTGACACCCCCGTCGTTATGACGCCTTTGCTTGTTCACACTGAACCACAGCGAGTCAGTGTGGTTAAACACAGACTGGCTTAATCAGAGGGCCATGACGTCTTATGTGTCCCAGCGAGTTTTCGGAAGGGCTGGCGCCACATTCCAGCATTTGACACTTGATGAGTGTGCTGTTAGGCAGTGTTACGGTAGATGGTTGATAACTGCTCACCTTCTCAATAAAGGTGCTACAAACACACAATGACACACCTCTCATGGGCTTTCTGTTCCAAACTGGACCGACAAGGTTGCTTATTTGAGAACTTGTGTGCCTTTGTTTTATATTAAAGAAAAAAAGTGTTCTAGACCTCAGCTTATTGCAAATGAGGAGCAACCAATGCAGTGCAACATCTCTCAAAACACAAGCGGCCTACACTAGAATATGTTGCACAGGAAGGGTGGAAATAGTGGATCGTGTGGACCCAGGTTCACACTGATTCATGATTACTGTCTTCCGGCTTGAACGTGAAAGCCCTCCGGTTCACTTTTGCACCTTTAACACAGAAGGTGTCCTCATACTTGAATCTCCCTGCTGTGAACAGGCAGTACATAAAAGAGGTGGAACATGACGGTCATAAATGTCATAAATATGTAAAAGTAAATGTCAAAATGGCTCAAAATGTTCACGCTGTCATCACATACATCATCTGACAGAGGGCTACACTGCTGGATTTCCTCATTGAGTGGCTTCATATAGTTCTTCCAAATGTTTCCTGCCCCCATTTCCATTTCAATAAGAGCTGCTGCAGTTTTGTTTTCATTTTCAGAGACACATCATTTACCAGAACACGTTGTTGAAACACGAGCACCGTTCGACTCCTTTTTTCTGCAGCGTTGACATGAAGAGAAAGGCTGCGCTGGCAGACCAGCAGCAGGAAGAGCTTTGGTTACTTGTTTTGGGTAGTTTTCATAATCGATATTGTATGATTGGTAGTTGTGTAGCAAGCAGTGCGAGCAGCTTTACAGTGTAAAACACTTTTAGGATGTATGTAAACCGTCATAGACGTTAGGCAGATTTTTATATATTAGAGAGCTTGAATTACTGGAGGCTCACAGTTGCTGTATTAATGTATAGAAAATAACAAATGAAAGACAATGCTTAAACATTAGTCAATTATTGTGTATTGACTATTATTATTATTAATAATAGTAATAATTTCTGAGTTCTTTCCTTTTATGGACAACATTTTGAATTGGTTACTGTAGTAAATGTAGTAGTTGTGGAGACTGTAATAAAATAAGTTCAAAAACTTTTAATAAGTTAAATATCTTGGTGTAATAACGTATTTAATCTATTATTGCCCTTTATTAAATAAAGATATGTGTATATATTCTGTGTTCATGTTTAACTTTTATTTATAGGAGGCAGAATTTCTGAATTTCTTTTTGTTTTAATTTGCACTCAATTAATAAGAGACAAATAATAATAATAATAATGCTCTCACTTGTTCCACTGCTTGTTAATGCAAATATCTAATCAGCCATTCACACAATAACAACTCAGTGCATTTAGACATGTAGACATTGTGACGACAACCTACTGAGGTTCAAACCGAGCATCAGAATGGGGAAGAAAGGGGATTTAAATGACTTTGATTGTGGTATGGTTGTTGGTGCCAGAGGGACTTATCTGAGTATTTCACAAACTGCTGATCCGCTGGGATTTCACACACAACCATCTCTGGGTTCATAAAGAATAGAGAAAATATCCAGTGAGTGCAGTTGTCCGGGTGAAAATTCCTTTTTTATTCCAGAGGTCAGAGAGGAATGGCCAGACTGCTTCGAGCCGATAGGAAGGCAGTATTAATTCAAGCTTTGCAACCAAGGTATGCCGGGAAGTATCCCTGAGCATACATGTTGAACCCAGTAGCAGAAGACCACACTGAGTGCCACTTTTGTCAACTAAGATAAGGAAACTGAGACCACAACTCACAGCCTCTGCAAAGTTGGACCATAACAGATTGGAAAAACTTTACCTGGTGTTATGAGTCTCAGGTAGTAGAGTCATTATTTGGTGTAAACATCATGAAGCATGAATCCACCTGCTTTGTGTCAATGGTTTGGGCTTCTGGGGGTGTTGTGGGGGATATTTTATTGGCACATCTTTGACCCCTAGTACCGACTGAGCATTGTTTAAATGCCACGGCCTACTTGAGTATTGTTCCTCACCATGTTTATCCTTTTAGTTTTTTAACTTCTAGTGTCGGTGCAATTACATCTTTCTTTCTTTCTTTCTGAAAATCAGCCCACAATTTCTGGCATTCTTATGCTCCATATTTGCTCCATAACTACATGAAATGAGAGAAATAAGGACTAACCAAACATAAATAATAACATCCGCCAGGGGTCATAAAAACACTCTGAGATCTAACAGTATGGATCATATATCTATTAATTAGGGATAAGAAAGGTGGTGGTGGGAGTAAAAATCAGAGGAATTAAAGAGGAAGTACCGAGGTTCATTGTAATGAAAGTAAATTTGTAAACCTCCTTCACCCTCTCCTTCTATTGACCCACCATTGAGGACTGTGGCCTCAGCCAGGTTACTGTGATCATCTTCTTAGCAATGAATGAAACAACTTTCAGTAGGAATATCCAATTGTTGCTTTTTAATCCATCTGGTGCCCAACGTATTGATCTAATAGCTCATTTGATTGTTAACATAAAGAATTGCTCCATACTTGGTGGTGTGGCACACAGCTTGTCCCGTTCTTTGTGTTTCTGTACATATAGGCTCTCAGCTATAAATACCTCTGAAAAATCATGTGCTGCATGTTTGAGCTGAAGCTGCTCAGAAGACATCAGCTCGTCTGCCTCAAATAGCTGACCCAACATTAGAAGTCCCTTTCTTGCCACCTTCTAAACCCCGCCTCTAATTTGGAGGAAGGAAAGTGAGAACGATGTGCAATCATCTTGCTTACGAGTCTTAATTTCTTTTTCACAATGGACCATTTTTAAAGATAGGTTTTTCACAACAATTATTTATTTGATTTCTTCTCCAGATGACTTTACTCATGAAGGGGATTGTATCTGAAAATATATTTGATCATTCATTCTGTTCCACCCTGACCTAGATGGTTTGTCCATCCACAGTGTACCCATTTTCTGGCGACTGCTTCGTG